AGGACGATCCTTCACTCTCAGATTTTGGGAGACAGGCCAGTCCTTGCTTACAGACAGCCCCCCCAACCTGAAACAAATACTCACCAGCACCCACCCACCACACAACAAAAACACTAACCCAGGAACCTATCCTTGCAACAAAGTCCATTGCCAACTCTGCCCACATATCTATTCAGGGGACACCATCACAGGGCCTAATCACATCAGCCACACTATCAGAGGCTCGTTCACCTGCACATCTACCAATGTGATACATGCCATCATGTGCCAGTAATGCCTCTCTGCCATGTACATTGGCCAACTGGACAGTCTCTACGTAAAAGAATAAATGGACACAAATTAGACGTTAAGAACTACAACATTCAAAAACCAATAGGAGAACACTTCAGTCACCCTGTCACTCAATTACAGACCTAAATGTCGCAATACTACAACAAAAAACCATCAAAAACAGATTCCAAAGAGAAACTGCTGAATTGGAATTTATTTGCAAACTGGACACCATTAAATTAGGCTTGAATAAAGACTGGAAGTGGATGGGTTATTACACAAATTAAACTATTTCCCCATGCTTATTTCCCCCCCACACACACTGTTACTCACACCTTCTTGACAACTGTTGGAAACGGGCCATCCTGATTATCACTACAAAAGGTTTTTTTTCGCTCCTGCTGATAATAGCTCACCTTAACTGATCACTCTTGTTATAGTGGGTACGGCAACACCCATTTTTTCATGTTCTGTGTGTGTGTGTGTGTGTGTGTGTGTGTATATCTTCCTACTGTATTTTCCACTGAATGCATCCGATGAAGTGGGTTTTAGCCCACAAAAGCTTCTGATCAAATAACTTTGTCTCGAAGGTGCCACAAGTACTCCTCATTCTTTTTGCTGTAACAATTACTATATCTCTATAACAACCATGCTCAGTGCATCATGAGCCTTCCAAAGACACCCAACATGACAAACTTTGCATTGGATACCGCACAATCATTTTACAAGGATGAACATGGGGGGTTCTGGGTGCTCCCCCGAGGTACAGAGCATCACAGAGAGGAGTGGGAGGGAAACATCCTACTCCCAAGGAAAACATCTGGCACTGGAGTGAGGCACACAGAAAATGCTCCCTGCAAGAGCACTGGCATTAGTGACTCCTGCTTGGTATGGGGGGAGGAGGAAGAGGAAGGAGGTTAGAACCAGTCTTGGTCCCCCTCTCTGTATTTGCATGGATGATAAAAGGGCTGTGTGAAGGGCACCAGACCAGGACTGTGTAACAGCAGGGGGTGCTGAGCACTCCAGGCTGGTTCAGCAGCATGCAGAATGGGGGTTCTTTACCCCCATCATATAATTGCCTTTCAGCAGGGCTGTTCCTGCTGCACAAGGTAGCAAATGCTTTGAGTGGGATGTGTCTCTCTGCTGCCTGGGGGGTGACAAATTCTTGTGCAATCTTCTGCCAGCAGCTAGGTTTCGGTTGCTGCATGGGGCATAAGCATTGTGTTTTCAGGAAGTCTCTTCTGCTACAGGCCTCACATCCCAGCTGAGACAGTGAGCAACTCAACAGGGCGCAGAGCGCCCCAGGAAGAAAAGGGACCAAGTGAGGCGGGGACTAGAAACCATCACGATGGGGTCATAAGAGTAAAACCAATGAATCTCCCCCTGCCCCCTTCTCTCCCTTAAGGGCTCTCAGTTTAATTCATTAACATGAGACACTCAGATCTCTACATAAGAGGTGCCAGGGAGTTTCTTTATAAATGAATGGCTTGTCTGCAAGAGCAAAGGGGGTTTAGGGCAAGTATTTGCTTTAATTGTGCTTTGCACTAGTGTGTAATTTATTTATTTAAGCTTTTTGCTGTTGGGCTCTGCATTGTTACCCTCACCTGTTTACATTTAGCTAAACACCATGGAAGATTAGGTCTTACCTTGCATGTTCTGCCATCCAGCAGATGTGTTGCAGTTGGACATTCCTAAGACTTGGTGCCAATATGTGGCAAAATCTCACACTCCCCTGGCTTTAGATTCCACAGCTCAGATGCTGCAGAGCAAGACACCTTTCAGGACCTAAGGGCCAATTTTTCCTCTATTAGAGAGGCAAAACCCTGCTGACATCAAGTGTACTGTAGCTGTGAAGTGGGATGGCTACTGTTCTGACCTAGCACGGACACTGTATCCTTATGTAGATGTTTTCCCATAATGAACATCATGTAAGAACACTACATCAACTGGAATGGAGAGGTCTCTGAAGTTGAACTGTTTATTTCTGTGCCAGCTGGATACTTCCCTTACAGAAAGTGTGGGTCCATCTTCTACATACAATAGCCATGCTAATATGTATTTCCAGGCACCCATGCCTGATGGTCACACCCAACTGCACTGAGTGGCTGATGATGGGTAGATGCCAGCTGGCAAATAGGACTTTGCCAAACAACTTGTGAGGCGGCTCAGTGTGAATAGACCACATGGGCATAAGTTCAGGGAGCCAAAACTTAGTATCGCACTCTCTCATCTGCAGTTGAGAATTGCACTTGCATGACTGAACCAGTGCAAAGCATCCACACTACCCTGCCGGCTTCTGGTACTCCAACTGCAGCATGTCCCTTCCCTCTCCATCCCCACCCCGAGTGCTGCAAGGCCTCTGGGCTGGTGCATCGGTCCCACAGGGAAAGACACTGCTCGCTGCTGCAGGGGCATACCATCTTTTAGGTCTTACCTTGCATGTTCTGCCATCCAGCAGATGTGTTGCAGTTGGACATTCCTAAGACTTGGTGCCAATATGTGGCAAAAAGATGGCTTTTACATCTATGTACCTGCTCACATTATTGGTGTGTTCCACTCACCAGCTGTGTTGAATAGTTCTGTCCTGTGCGTCTCAGCATGAGGGGCAGAGATTACACTTATGCAGTGTGGAGGATCACTAGACGCTTACTCATGAGGCAGCTGGTTGGACTCTTGGGCCGGCTGCCCAGAGACTGTGATGAGGATCACCAGTTTTTAGGTGGCACTGTTCAAGTAGTTAAAGACCTTGATTTTTTTTTTCTGTTCATTTAAGTTTTTTGTTTTTTAATTCTATTTTGTGCTTTACGGTGTAGCTGAGCCTATGTGTTTTGTTCCTCTCATATGTCTGTCTAGGATCCACAGATGGGACAGGGCTGTCAGAACATCCCTGCAGGCGCCTCACTATGGCCCAGCCATTTCCCTTCACCACCTAGTGGTGTAGGATCCCCAGAAGTGGGAAGAACTCTTGGTGTCAGAGTATCACAGTGAGTCGTAGAAGGTTGAGTGGAAAGATGGTATGTCTGTGGTTAAGATTCCACTCTGGGACTGAGGCAACCTGGGTTCTATGTCTGTCTGTCTACCACAGACTTCCGGCAAGTCTCTGAACCTCTCTGTGCCTCACTACCCATTACTGTACAGATGGAGAATGACTCTGCTCTGCCTCATGGGCTGCTGAAGATCAGACTGTGAATGGGTGTGAGGTCCTGACATTGTATATCACTGAGCAAAACTGAAAAGCTTCTTTTAAAGTGGATTTGTTTTGGGATATTAGGGAGCCTTGGTACGTGTCCACTAATGACTTTTCTTTTTTGGCTTTCGGAAACACTGCAGTACTAATATGCTCAGCTGCTAAGAGGGAGGAAGCACCTCATGCTAACTGAGTGACCCTTCTCGCCAATTACAGAGAAACAGCGAGGGGCTTCAAAGTCTTTGGTTAGGAGATGAGTGGCTACAATGTGGGGGGCCATGAGGTAGGGTAGAGAAATGGGAGAGAGATTATCAGAGCTCCATAGGGCAGATGGAAAGTCCATGCTGAAAATAAAGGAAAGGTGCTGTTCAGGCAGATTTGGAACAGGAATAGATCTGCATTTACACACTGCTTTCGAGCAGCTCTCAGTGGCTTAGTTTTCTTTTGAGGATTGAAAAACCCATTAAGGCCCAGAGACAGTGGATGCCTTGGAGCCCATTCCACTAGCCCATGAAATAATGAAAAGTCTCCTACTGACTCCTCTGACTAGGGACTGAATATGCCAAGAAGGCCAATGGCATTTTAGGATGTATAAGTAGGGGCATTGCCAGCAGATCGAGGGACGTGATCGTTCCCCTCTAGTCGACATTGGTGAGGCCTCATCTGGAGTACTGTGTCCAGTTTTGGGCCCCACACTACAAGAAGGATGTGGAAAAACTGGAAAGAGTCTAGCAGAGGGCAACAAAAATGATTAGGGGACTGGAACACGTGACTTATGAGGAGAGGCTGAAGGAACTGGGATTGTTTAGTCTGCGGAAGAGAAGAATGAGGGGGGATTTGATAGCTGCTTTCAGCTACCTGAAAGGGAGTTCCAAAGAGGATGGCTCTAGACTGTTCTCAGTGGTAGCTGATGACAGAACAAGGAGTAATGGTCTCAAGTTGCAGTGGGGGAGGTTTAGGTTGGATATTACGAAAAACTTTTTCACCAGGAGTGTGGTAAAACACTGGAATGCGTTACCTAGGGAGGTGGTGGAATCTCCTTCCTTAGAAGTTTTTAAGGTCAGGTTTGACAAAGCCCTTGCTGGGATGATTTAGTTGGGGATTGGTCCTGCTTTGAGCAGGGTGTTGGATTAGATGACCTCCTGAGGTCCCTTCCAACCCTGATATTCTATGATTCTATGGTTCCTGGTGCCAAGACAGGTGCATTAGAAATATCATAATGACCTCCCTCAAAGACAAAGCTAAATGGGTAGCAGAGATGGAACTGAATGCAGCTCATCTGATGCCTAGTTCCAGTCACAGTACCCAATGTGTTAGAATAGAATTTATTCCCTCCTGTGACATATTTCCTAACAGGTCCTAAAACAGCGAAGTCAGCCTTCCACAAAAGGATTTCACTGAAAGCAGAATCCAGGGCCTGTGTTTTGAACAAAGCAGGAGAGAGAGCCCTAGGAATGCACCACTCTCTGGGGAAGATACAATTATTGGCTAAACAAGCCTCTGCTTGAATAGGCTTCAAAAGTAAGGTTGCATAGCCGGTCTATTAATGTTAAACTTTTATTTCACAGTTTTTTAGCTTAGTCATTTCATCCACAAGAAAATAAAGTGACAGCAGGGTTCTGTGTTCCCCAACCTCAGTGCAGGACAAAAGGCTTTGCAGGTAGGCATAATTCATCTTAAACAAGACAGATGCCAAGAGACATATGAATAATTAAATTTTTTTTAGAACAGCCCTTTTCCTTCTCTGGTAAGGCTGGCACCCTTCCAAAAATTAAACAGAATGAGGTGGAGTCATGTTTCAAGATGAGGCTTTTTTCCCCAAAAGCCACATACTTAGAAATAGTATTTTTCTGTAAACAGTTCAGGAGACCAGCTAACTGCCTCATCCAGTCCACCCACTAAATAAGTTGCACATGAATGGCTCTTCTGGGTTTCTGAGCAGGCACAAGTTTCAGAGACCGCATCTTCTAGAAGTGAGGCCTTAGCAGCATTTGCAGGTTTAGGAGTTGCTGGAATTCCAGCTCTATTCATAGGATTTAATTTTCTGCTTCTTAAACATGTATCAGTTCTTGACTTTCCACTGTTGGCTTTGTCTTCAGAAATAGTTTTTTTGTCAATGGGTTTGCAGATAGCTGGGCTCCTAGCTTGCAATCCAACTGTTTTTAAATTAGAAAATGCAACTGGCTGTAACAATTTTGTTGCTGATGGAGGGATCCATTCTTTAGAGTCATTCTCTGGCACCTCGCTGTTGATAAATGACTGCTGTGAAACAGACTTATTGATGGCTGTGTTACTTGAACTTTTGTGTTTCAGGAATTTGCTGGTAAATTGTCTTAATAAAGTATTTTTAAAAGAAGGCCTAGACAGTTTACATTTGCAGTGGATTTTAGTAGGACTTTTAGATGTCAATTTAGGGAGAACTGATTCTCTCCCCCTCTGGGATCTGAATTTTTGAAGAGGTCTTGCAACAGGAGTTGACTGTGAATAAGGAACAAAGTTCTGGGTATCTACCAGATCAAGTTCTGAATCATAAAGTGAGTAAGTTATGGGTGTACTGTGTATACCAAAAGGAGGTGGTAAACTAAGTGAGGATCTGCACTTCGAATAGCTGCAGTCAACATCTAATGGACTACACACTAATTCAGATGCTGTGTACTTTTCAGTCAAAACATCTTCCTGTGCTGAAGAGTTGTGAGACTTATCTGAAAATTCTACCATGGTTTCTATCTCTCTAGCACTAGCATCGAAGAGGTCAGCAGAAGCATTGTAGCTGCTTTTGGGGTGATTGGAGTTGTTCTGTAGCAAGTCACTCTGGTTTATAGCTCTAACAGTATTTTCTTGCAATTCAGTTAATGGTTCTAATTCGCTCTTACACATATTTTTAGCTTTGTAGGGAGCTGCTGAATCACAACCCAGTTCTTGAGAACTTGTAAAATCTGTTCTTGGGTCTGGTGGATAACTACAATTTTCTTTATTTTCCCAATCAGCTACACAGCCATCATATAGAGAATGTAAGTGGGCAGGTTTCTCTCTCCTTTGTAAATACGGGCTTTCTGCATCTTTCATAGTACACTGAAAGTTGGTGAAAGAATGGGCATTGTTTGAAATATTAACATTTGCTTCCTCAGATGGTAGAAAACTGCCCGCTGAAAGAGCAAAAGTTGCTCTAACTGCTGAGGACTGTGACAGCACTAGCAGAGGTGGGTTAGGTATAAAGTCAGACTCTCTGCCTCTCTTAGTACTTGTAGATAAAACGCTGGTCAAAGGCTCACTCTGTGATACTTGGCCATTTACAGGAGTGAGGTTTGATTGATGGCAGGAGGTAATATGCTCTTTGCAAGTATTCACATTCTCTGCTAGTTGTGGGAACCTCCCTGTTGTGGTGGTTGATTTGCAGGCAGTATGTACAATGCCTTGCCTACATGATGTTTTGCTATGATTTTCATCCAACTCACTTCTTTCACGCAGGGAACATTTATGAGCATTGAGACCTACTGGGGATATGGTGCTCTTGTTGTTTTCAATTCTGGCTATGAATTCATTTAGACTTTCAGAGAACGGCAACTCGTCCCAAATCATAGGGTCATCCTGAGAAGTTCCAGCTGCAATTCCATGATTAGGAGACACTGCTGAGTTGCAAAATGAATAATCTTTTCTCTGGTAAAGCAAGGAGTTAAAAGAGTTTTCTTGAAAGTAATCATGTCTGCTGATAATCTCTGGGCAAGAGTATTTTAAATCCAATGGGCTTTGTAACAACCTGGACCTGTTCCTATCAGGTGACCATTCTCTCTTTAAAGAAGAGAAGCTCTCTAGTTTTTCAGTTGCAGTGATCGTGTTTGACTGACTAGATAGTGAACTGAATTCATTATCTTCCTGTTCATTTCTCTCATTCATAGGGGTACAGAGCTGTAAATCTTGAATGGCTTGGTTGCTGGGGCTTAGGTTGCATAGTTCTGCAGAGAAACGCCTCTCCTGTAGTTTACACTGTTCACCAGCAGCCTTGCCCAGTTCTAAAGACGAAAAGTCTTCTGTTGTTACCCAATCAACAGATGAAGAAGTCAGGCCAAAGGACTGCTGCCAGGGTCCTGAAAAACTCTCTCGGCCACTTGACTGAACAAAACATGAGTTGCTGCCAGAGCTACACAAGCTGCTGAGCTCACTGCTAGGCTGATCTATTGCAATGAAAGGACAACCAGGTCGCTGTGAGCTACTGTGACTACTCCTGAAATTAGCTGATTGCAGGAGCTGACGGAAGTAGCTGATAACAGTAAAGCCGGCAACAGCCGTGTTTGGCAGGAAAATCTGGCAGGCTGTAAGATCTCTTGTAAGTCTATTAATTCTGTAGCAGTTTTGCAAAATGTTGTCAGAAACAGAGTGCCCTCCATCATGGTTTTCAGAGCTCTGCAAAAGAATTAATTATGTTTATTAGTGTAATGATTTGTCTGTATACAGAGCAAAATTTTATGGGGACTGAGAGCAAGAAAGGTCTAAACAAGTCCAGTCCACAGTTCATTTTAAAGACCTTCTCTTTTCATCAGGGTCTTTGGGGAAAGAGAGGAAAACCTGCTGTTTCACAGCAGCACACCCTAGCAAATGAGTGCTACTGAAAGCTATAAAGGACATTCCAGTCTGAAGGCCTTTGTGGCAATCATACAAAGAATTTTCAGAGCACTGGGTGAAAACTCAGTAGGAATTCTGAGGAGAAAAGACAAAACCTGGGCAGAAGAAAAACTACATTACTAGAGAAGGCCACCTTGTGAAGAGGGACATACTGCATACTTGACTAGGTGGCCACTAGACAGCAGATACCTTCCTTTGAACAATGACGTACTGAGCAATGTTTGAAGCAGGCACCCCGATACCCGGGAGCAGGGATTGGAGAGGAATATTACCTGGACCCCCTTGGTTAGGTCTAGATAATGCTGGAGCTGTATGGCCAGATCTTCAGAGGGGCCTCATCTGGAACTCTATTTGCACCCCCGTTTATCACTCACTGAATTGAAACTGCAAGTGCAAATTTAGAGGCATTCTTGGAAAAAGAAAGGCCTAAAGCATGTAGCTCATGAAGTGATTAAAACACCTGTAGTGTCTAGAGGAAATGCAATGCCAGAGCTGAGCAACTGGTGGAAGGTACAGACTGCAGAACGATTCACAGATTCCAAGGCCAGAAGGGACCATTGTGATCATCTAGTCTGACCTCCTGAATAGCACAGGCCTGAGGACTTCTGCAAAATAATTCCTAGAGCAGGTATTTTAGAAAAACATCTAATCTTGGATGGTCAGTAATGGAGAATCAACCAAGGCGGGGGGGAATTGAACCTGGGTCTCCTACATCCTGGGCAAATTCTCTAGCCACTAGACTAAAAGTTACAAAGGTGGGCACCTCCTGGCAAGTTTTGAATGGGGCCCGATTCAGTAGGCTTGCTCCGAGCATGCCTATTGGATCAGATCCCACAGGTGAGATAGGTGGCCTCCCACCTAACTTCTCCCAGTTTGTGGATTGTACTGGGGCTTAGGCAAGAGAGAAACATCTGAATGCCTAGAGGGAGGCAACAATGCATGTGCCCAGAGGCAGAAATGTAGGTGTCAAGGGGAACCTTTACCCTGAAAATGTAGGTGCCAAATGGCCTTAGGTCCTACACAAAACAGCTGTGTGAGGGTTTTGCGGATGGCAGTGGTGCCTAAGATTGTGACGTAGAAGCCTAAATCTGGGGTTTAGGCTGCTAAGTACCTTTGCAGATCTGGGCCTTATTGAGTTACATAGGAAGTTAATAGCAGAATTGAGAGTGGAACACAGGTCTGATTCCTCATCTTATGGCCTAGCCGCACTGCCTTCTTTGCTGGATATTTCAGTCCCTAGAAGAAATCATACATGCTGCTCTGCTACTGTCAGTGTGGGAACACGGTACATTAGACTCTCAAGCCTGCCTAGTAAAATTTGCATGATTCAACTGGAAACTAATGGATCAAAAGTGGAAAGTTACCTTCACTCCAAATATAAATCTTCTCCCAATGAAACATGTTTTAACTGCTTGAATTAACACACTTGGAGATGCATCTCTGTCCAGCTCTCCTGATACTTGGTTAAAATCTTGAATATACCTTGAATGAAGAAAGTTAAATGTTAAGTATTGACATGGGCAGAGAAAGCTTTACATGGTATTTAAATTGTAATGATTAGGGCACCCACACTAAAGATGGGGTATTGGGTTAGGTTGTTGAGCTACACATGGAATGAAAAGATGAAATCAGAGTAGGAAGTTAGCAGTGACAAAGCAGTGATCTGCAGAGAATCAACTTAACTATTATATAGAAGAGAAGTAAGGACACATACATACAACTGGAAAAAAAATCAAACAGAGAAATAATGGAGTAAGCAGACAACTACATAATTTGCTTTAGGACTGGTCTGCACGCAATTTTTATAGCAGTATCAGTATTTCTGTTAAGGGTGTGTTTTTATTGATAGTTTGACCGGTACCACCCACAGTGTGGACGCAGTTATACTGGTATAAAGGTGACATACCAGAGTAACTTGTTCCCCTTCTGGTATGGGAATAGCTATACTGGTACTAAGCACGCTTATAACAATATAACTTTGTCCACACTAAGAGGAGGTGAGAGGTTTGCCATTTCACGTATAATGATATAGTAAAAGCAGTACAATGTTTTATTGTAGACAAGGCCAAAAATTAAAGCTAGCACGAAGCTTGAAGTATAGCAGTAAATTCACACTACACTGGGTGGGTTTTTTTAAAACAAAGTATTCATGATACGTTCTTCTGCTATAAAGTAATAAAAATTTACAGAAGCATGTATGCACACAAACTGAGCCCTGGTCTACACTACAAACTTGTCAGCATAACTATGTTGCTCAGGGTGTGGAAAATCCACACCACTAAGTGATATAGTTATACAGACTTAACCCCCGGTATAGACAGTGCGATGGTGACGGGAGGGCTTCTCCTGTCAAAATAACCATCGCCGCTCGGGGAGGTGGAGTACCTACGCCAATGGGAGAAGTTCTCCCGTTGGTGCAGGAAGTGCCATTGCAGCACTGTGAGCATAGACAAGCCCTGAGACACTATACACTCCCTATTCCTATCATCTACAGCTGCTAAAGGAACTGGAAAACATGGAATTGAAGCATGAGAATGTCAGTTGGTAAGAAGGTGGTACTACATATTACTCTAATGATGGGGCGTACCTGATGGACAGCTTACTCCTGGTGGAATTCTGCACCAAAAAATTAAAAATTCTGTGCACAATATTTTAAAATCCTGCATATTTTATTTGTCAAAAACACCACAATTATTTTTGGTCATTTATTTCAAAATACCTGTCAGCAAGTATGTCTAACAATACAGACAACAAAAAAGATTCAAGAAATGTTTTTCAACAAATAGAGTTCTGTATTAATATGTCTAGTAAGGAATCTGAGTAATAATTCTCTTAAACTACACCACAGAACCATTTTCCCCACACCCCTCAGAAGCAGTGCAAAGGTTTGGGGGAGTCAAAGGTAACGGAGGAGCTGAGGGAGAGGGAAATATATTGCTGGGAAGGAGCCTGGGTGTGAACTTGGAGGGTTGTTGGGTATGAGTGGGAAAAGTATGGAACAGGTTTTTTTTGCGGGGCGGGGAGGGATTGTTAGAGACCTTCCCCCATGCAGACCCTGGCTGACCCCTATCCTCTCCTATTCAGTCAGGCACATCTGCCCCGTCCCCATGTGTCTCTGTTCCCCCACCCAGCCACTCCCCTGTCCCCGTGTGTCTGTTCCCCCACCCAGCCACTCCCCTTTCCCTACATGTCTCTGCACCTCCCTCCCCCGTGGCCCTGTGCCTCCACTCCCATTCAGCCCCTGCCCCAGTCTGTCCTCCCCCACTAGCCCTTAGGAACCCCTGTCTGACCCCGCCAACCCCAGCACCCCATGCTGTTTGTGTCCCCATAACCCCTGTCTCCTGACCTGGCCTGACAAGCTCTGTGAAGAAGGCAGCTCTCTCTCTTCCCTCGCTGGCCATGAGCTGTAGCTTTGTTTTATTGCCATAGTGCCCTCTGGTGGGCAAAAGACAGAATTGCATAAGTTATTTTCTGCTGGGAGCTGCTGCTGTTCTTGTGCCACAGTGCCCTCTTGTGCGCAAAAGGCGGAACAGCAGCAACATTTTTTTCTGTGCAAAAAATTAGAAATCTGCGGGGCTCATTAATTATGTGCACACGCAATAGTGCACAATTCTCCCAGGAGTAGCAGGTGCTAGACTGGGATAAAAAGCAAGAATATTATCCTAACTATTCAGAATGTAAGACAAAGCAAGCTTCTTTGTCTATCCACCACAGCCTGTGTGTGAAATTTGAGAGACGGAGAAGTCATAGTGATGGTCTTGAAGCGGAGGAACAAGCTGTAACTATGTGTTGTTAGAGAGTTAGCAAAGGATAATACAAATCAGATGGGTGAGAATGTATTCCCTACCTAGGGAAGCTATTAAGGTGGTGTTTTCAGAAATGCTTGGCTTAGGTTCAATTCTGCTCCTACTGATCACATGCATAAAACTCTCACTGAAGTCAAATCCCACTCAGATTTTTATAGTCAGGATTTTTTATGGCCAAAGGGTGAAGCTTGTAGGACTGGTGGTTGAGTTCTCAGTAGCATGCCTGGGAATTCACTCCTTGCTACTGCAACCTGACCGCTTCAGTGACGAGCTATAAGACACATTTTCTACCTCAATGTCCAAAACACAAGGTAGTGCAAGAGAGAGATGTCCCCAATGAGGCACCTAAATGACACGGAAAAGTGTGTCTAAACCTGAGGGAAGCTATGCTATTTAGCAACTTGCCATCAGACCAGGAATGATCACTAATGACAAAGGGACATAAGGGACCAAGCTCCCAATGCAGCGTGAAACTCAAAGGGCAGGTAATATCTACCTTTGATAGAGATCCTTCAGGTCTCTCTCCTGCACTTTGGCAACACTTGTACAGCTGTCATACCAATATATTGTTAGTGAAATGAAATTGTGAGGTGCACCTCTTTGACAAGATCTTCTCAAATGTTAACCCCTGGTTTCCTAGTAGATGGATTAAGCTGCAGGCAGTAGGGCTAATGGGGTTTTGTCTCTTATGAACATCTTTAATGTCTCAACTTAAGTCTTTTGAAGTGTCCAGATAACATGGTGATAGGTGCCAAATAACAAGTAGGTATTTTCCTGATTTCACCCTTACAAATAAATCACATCTACTCAGATCTAATTTTTACCAGTTTATGGAGAAATACTGCTCAGATACCAAGTTGGCAAACAGTTCTAAGAAAATATTTAGAGCCATGAATGTAGCCACACACTCATTCCCCCTCCTCCCCCGATTCTGCTAGGTTGAGTGAGGGGAGGCAGCTATATAATTTTTAAAAAAATAATCCTTTACCTCTGCAGACTTCCTGCTGTGACCCCAAAGAATGGATCTAAAGAGCTTCCAAACACGGTAATGGCAAATAAATCACTAGTGCCAGCAACTTTTAGGGACAGCTTATACCTGTAGTTTGCATCCTTAGCTTCACCCGTGCAGCCACATTTTAGACAGTTAAACCTGGTAAGACAGTAAGAAAAATGAGCACACATTTTTGTTAATTGATGGTGTAGTAAGAATTTCTATCCATCAATAAACACTACCAGCATAATGCACCTTGTACCAAATCAGAAATGTAGTTTTTTTCTTATTCTTTGCTCTTTATGGCCCCAATCATGCAATAAGCTCAACAAAAGCAGATTCCTGTGATCATGCAAAGCCACATGAACTTCAGTGAAGCTTTTACACAGTTAGTAAACATAAGCCTAATATAGGCTATGGGGTAGTTGGGGTTACTTTAATGTTTTTTTTGGGGGGGTGGGGGGGTTTGAGGGATGTCTGACTTCACTTTGAAACTCCTAGCACAGTAATTTTTGTATTTCGGATTTCTTTTATTTTATTTGCCTAGAGCTTTGGATAAATCAAAAAGATAACAAAACCCCCTCAGACATTAGAAACCTCCACCATCTTTCTTCTCTTCAATATCTGACACGATGGAGATACCAAGCTTTGTAAAGCTGGATGTCTTGATTTAGTATTTATGGAATTCATTCTTTTCGTGTGCTTCAGAGTCAGTGCCCAGGATTTGACAGGGCATCAATCTGGATGTTCCACACATTTGTGGGAGTTTCTTGATTTTACAGAACAATGGCACTATGTGATTGCCAAATGCTGTGGAGTAGGAAAGGGCAAAATTTGGGCACTGTCTAGATGTGAGATGGGGAGGAGAAATCACACAGGTGGACCCTATGTTATGAGAGGAAGGATGGGGTTGTCTACAGTCAAAGAACGAGGAAAGTCAAAAGGTTCATGAAGTTCAAGAAACCAGCTCAGTTTTAGTCATGTTAAACTGAAGTTAAGACATCCGGGAAAAAGTGTCTACAGATGCAAGAATGAGCCCATAGTTCCTACTGGCATAAGAAAGCAGGAGCTAGTGAATCTAGATTTCAAGGAATCTATGGGAAAGTAAACGTATTCTGTGCTCAGTGCCCCGTATTCTGCCACCATATTGCCCTCTTTCAAATCCCCTCTTAAAACTCTCCATTGCCATAATGCCTACAAGAAACTTTACAACTCTTAGGTTGCTAGTGTGCTGAGACCACCGTCATTGACGATCATGAGGATTTTCTTATTGTGCTCCCCTTCTGTCTTTTGTCTCACCTGCTGTGTCATCTTATAATTACATCTGTAAACTCTTTGGGATAAGGACTGTTTTTGTATGGGGCCAAGATCAATCAGATCCTGGTCCATGACTAGGGTTCTCAGGCACTAACATAATAGTTCTAATACAACTTTCTACAGGCCACATATATATAGCACCCAAAGTGTGGTAGGTGCTTTCCAAATAAACAATTAGCAATGCCCCAACATGGACCTACCTATTAGAATCTAGTATCAGCTTAGAAAAGCAGTTTTGACAAGAAGGGTACACAAAGCTAGAGTTTTGGACAGAAATTACAGAGGCAGCTAACAGTCTTCTCCTGCCATTCATGTGTTCACAGTGTCACCTGAAAAGACAGAAACACAGAATGATCTGATGAGATTATCATGTATAAAATTTTAACACAAACTTCTTTTTTTCTTAAAAATAAAACTTTAGCTTTTTTAAAAAGAGTAGTCTGTATCCCGGTTAACCTCAGCATATTATTTACTGCTCCTTGTGAAACAGAAGACAACGGCTACTTGAAGTTGTGTTAAAGAGAAACATTTAATAGTTTTTCAAATAAGTACTGCAAAATACTGTACTGTTTAAGGTGGTATTATAACTATGCTTCATCCCAGCTTTAAAGCATAATTGTTCTGGACTCTTTTTATTTAAGCTGGAGTCACAATATGGGGTTAAAAACCTGACACCTACATGATGGTGTTCGCATTATTGTGTTGAACTTCAATGAGTTCATGAATGAGGGAGACAACCTAGTGACAGAGATGTGGAAAAAGCGAATGTACTCAATGCTTTTTTTGCCTCTATCTCCACAAACAAGGTCAGCACCCAGACTGCTGCACTGGGCAGCACAGCATGGGGAGGAGGTGACCAGCCCTCTGTGGAGAAAGAAGTGGTTCGGGACTATTTAGAAAAGCTGGACAAGCATAAGTCCATGGGGCCGGATGCGCTGCATCCGAGAGTGCTAAAAGGAGTTGGTGGATGTAGTTGCAGAGCCATTGGCCATTATCTTTGAAAACTCATGGTGATAGGGGGAGGTCCCGAAGACTGGAAAAAGGCTAATGTAGTGCCCATCTTTAAAAAAAGGAAAGGAGGAGGATCCTGGGAACTACAGGCCAGTCAGCCTCACCTCAGTCCCCGGAAAAATCATGGAGCAGGTCCTCAAGGAATCAATTCTGAAGCACTTAGAGGAGAGGAAAGTGATCAGGAACAGTCAGCATGGATTCACCAAGGGCAAGTCATGCCTGACTAATCTAATTGCCTTCTATGACAAGGTAACTGGCTCTGTGGATGAGGGGAAAGCAGTGGACGTGTTGTTCCTTGACTTTAGCAAAGCTTTTGACACGGTCTCCCACAGTATTCTTGCCAGCAAGTTAAAGAAGTATGGGCTGGATGAATGGACTATAAGGTGGATAGAAAGCTGGCTAGACTGTCGGGCTCAATGGGCAGTGATCAATGGCTTCATGTCTAGCTGGCAGCCGGTATCAAGTGGAGTGCCCCAAGGGTCGGTCCTGGGGCCGGTTTTGTTCAATATCTTCATTAATGATCTGGAGGATGGTGTGGATTGCACCCTCAGCAAGTTTGCAGATGACACTAAACTGGGAGGAGATGTAGATACGCTGGAGGGTAGGGATAGGATACAGAGGGCCCTAGACAAATTAGAGGACTGGGCCAAAACAAATCCAATGAGGTTCAACAAGGACAAGTGCAGAGTCCTGCATGTAGGACGGAAGAATCCCATGCACCACTACAGACTAGGGACCGGATGGCTAGGCAGCAGTTCTGCAGAAAAGGACCTAGGGGTTACAGTGGACGGGAAGCTGGATATGAGTCAACAGTGTGCCCTTGTTGCCAAGAAGGCCAATGGCATTTTGGGATGTATAAATAGGGGCATTGCCAGCAGATTGAGGGACGTGATCGTTCCCCTCTAGTCGACTTTGGTGAGGCCTCATCTGGAGTACTGTGTCCAGTTTTGGGCCCCACACTAGAAGAAGGACGTGGAAAAATTGGAAAACGTCCAGCAGAGGGCAACAAAAATGATTAGGGGACTGGAACACATGACTTATGAGGAGAGGCTGAGGGAACTGGGATTGTTTAGTCTGCGGAAGAGAAGAATGAGGGGGGATTTGATAGCTGCTTTCAACTACCTGAAAGGGAGTTCCAAAGAGGATGGCTCTAGACTGTTCTCAGTGGTAGCAATTGACAGAACAAGGAGTAATGGTCTCAAGTTGCAATGGGGGAGGTTTAGGTTGGATATCAGGAAAAACTTTTTCACTAGGAGGGTGGTGAAACACTGGCATGTGTTACCTAGGGAGGTGGTGGATTCTCCTTCCTTAGAAGTTTTTAAGGTCAGGCTTGTCAAAGCCCTGGCTAGGATGATTTAGTTGGGGATTGGTCCTGCTTTGAGCAGGGGGTTGCACTAGATGACCTCCTGAGGTCCCTTCCAAACCTGATATTTTATGATTCAACGATGAGGGGACAAGCGGATGCTGGGCACTCGAGGCACTCAGAAAATCATTAGGTTGTCCTTTCAATTGAGAATGAAGACCATAATTCTGCCTTTTGATCCAACAGTGCAGACCAGCAAAGTGCGCAACTAACTTCAATGAGGCACAGGTCTGCCCATGTGTATCGGATAGCAGTATGAGGAGCTAAATAGTTTCCAAACTAGTCTTAATTTTCTCTGCAGAATTACCAATGTACTCTATAGTTAAGGGGTGGGCAAACTTTTTGGCCTGAGGGCCACATTGGGGAATAGAAATTGTATGGCCGGCCATGAATGCTCACAAAATTGGGGTTGGGGTGCAGGCTCTGGGGTGGGGCTGAGGATGAGGAGTTTGGGGAGTAGGAGGGTGCTCTGGGCTGGGACTGAGGGGTTTGGAGGGCGGGAGGGGAATAAGGGCTGGGGCAGAGGTGCAGGAAAGGGTGCAGGTTCTGGCTGGGGCTGGGGATGAGAGGTTTGGGATGCAGGAGGGTGCTCCGGGCTGGGATCAAGGGGTTTGGAGACCTGGAGGGGGATCAGGGCTGGGGCAGGGGTATGGGGAGAGGCCCAGGTGGTGCAAGCTTCCAAGCGGCGCTTACCGCAAGTGGCTCCTGGAAGCAGTGGCATATCCCTTCTCCGGCTCCTACGTGGAGGCACGACTAGGTGGCTCTGCACTCTGTCCCATCCGCGGGCACCACCCCTGCAGCTCCCATTGGAACGTGTAGGAGCCAGAGCGGGGCCATGCCCTGGCTTCTGGGAGTTGCATGGTGCAGCCTCCAACCCAGCGCCCCAGCTGGAGCAGGGTCAAGCCGCATGGTGCGGCCTTGAACTCAGTGCCCTGGCCGGAACAGGGCCAAGCTGCGTGGTGTGGCTCATGAGCCGTAGTTTGCCCACTCCTGCTATAGTTAAATCATTCTTTTGAGGAGACATTTGGCTCATGTGGTTTTAGTCTTATGTTTCACCAAAATTAAAAAATGCAAGTCATCTGGTTTGAATTAATACATTTTTGCTCGGGCACACTTTACTCCAGGGGTCGGCGACCTTTCAGAAGTGGTGTGCCAAATCTTCATTTATTCACTCTAATTTAAGGTTTCACGTGCCGGTAATTCATTTTAATGTTTTTTTTAGAAGGTCTCTCTCTGTAAGTCTGTATTATATAACTAAACTATTGTTGTATGTAAAGTAAACAAGGTTTTTAAAATGTTTAAGCAGCTTCATTTAAAAGTAAATTAAAATGAAGATCTTATCAGTTTAGTGCAGTGGTTCTTAACCTGGGGTGCATGCACCCCCTGCAGGTGCGAGATGCCCTTTCTGGGGGTGCGAGACATGCGAGTTTTTTTAGAAAGTAAATCATCGAAAACACAAATTAAGCACAGGCACATAAGTACAACTACTTTGTTTCATCAAACCTATGTATTTATTAACATTATACATTTTTAAACGATTACTGTAATATACAAAGTTTTTAAGTTTTCAAGTTTTTAAGCTAACTGTAGTGTAATTTTTTATAAGGGCTGTACAGCGCTGGGCCCAGGCCAGGAGCAGCGCCCTGGGCTGGATGCTGGTACCCCAAGATGGCAGGAGGGCTGAGCAGGGCCAGGCGGCTGGAACCCCAGACCAGCAGCGAGGTGAACAGGGCCGGCGGCTGGTATCCTAGGCCAGCAGCAGGCTGAGTGGGGCAGATGGCTGGGACTCCGGCTGGCAAGGGGCCAGCGGCTGGAACCCCAGACTGTCAGCAGTCTGGCTGACTCGCTGCCGGTCTTGGGTTCTGCCAGTTCCTGCCAGCCGTGGTCCTGGCTACTGGCACTGCTCAGCCCGCTGTTGGCTGGGGGTTCCATTCACTCAGGCTTGCAGCGGGCTGAGCAAGGCTGGCGGCCGAGACCCTGGCTGGCAAGGGGCTGGCGGCCGGAACTCCAGACCGTCAGCGGGCTGAGCGGGGCCGGCGGACAGAACCCCAGACCAGCAGCGGGCTGAGTGGCTCAGCCTGCCGCCGGTCTGGGGTTTCGTCCGCCGGCTCCTGCCAGCCGGGGTCCCGGTTGCCGACCCCGCTCAGCCTGCTGCCGGCCTGGGGTTCCGTTCACCCAGGCAGGCAGTGGCCTGAACGGGGCTGGTGGCTGGGACCCTGGCTGGCAGCAGCGTGCCAGTAAAAATCGGCTTGCCTGCTGTCTTTGGCACGCATGCCGCAGGTTGCAGACCTCTGCTTTACTCTGAAAGCTGCTGTTTTCTCAAGGAGTCATTTAGCCATTCATATATGCTTCTTGCTCTTCAGGCTTTTTTAAAATATAAGACTAACACAAGACTTCAATTCTGAAACTGCAGAACACTCTATTTTAGTGAGACAGTCAATTTACCAAAATATTTCTTATGTAGTTGACAGCAACAACTCTGTTTCTTCATTTGTGTGGGTCTTTCAAACAGCAATGGAGGAGAGAAAAACATGTTTAAGAATAGGAAAAAGTGATTGTAAAACTAAAAGAGTTATCAGAAGGATTCATACAGATGAAGTCCCTCAAGGTTTTTTAACATGAAATCAAATCAAGTTAAAAAAACCAACAAGTTGAAGCGTCTCTTTAAAATGTTTCATGATAAACATTTTTAATCCAACAGCGCAACACTTGGAATTTTAATGTTGCTTTTGTAAATCAACCTCCTCACTATACTGGCACAGAGAGAAAAAGAGCCCTTTTAATCATATGGTGTCATGAACACCTGCTTTTTACCCAGACAACGTTAAAATTCCAAATTAAAACTTTGTACCCTCAACTATATTCAAATGTTATCTACCCTAAAATATATCTGAGGATTTTTTTGTTTTTTAAGAGCTAGCACCTTATACTGTTTACAATTTTAATTAAAAATACCCAGCTCTTCCAGTTTTCTTCACTGAATTATCCATTTGTCTCAGCTGTGAGTTACTATATAGTAGAAATATCTTCTACTAATCAATATGAAAGATGTGGTTCCAAAGCTGTCAAATAGAAGTGGAGGACTTTGTTAAAGGGCCTTATTTAAGGTGATGTGTAGTTCTTCAGATTGTTAAAGTTCGTAGAATGGAGAACAGACTGTGGATTTCTGAAACTGACAAACTGAAGTGTTCGTATAACTGACATACGCATTTGTGCATTCAACCATTTAGGTATCCCCCATAAGCTCCAAAGGTGCCATTTTTAAGCAAACCGTTGATAATGGCAATGTTTAGGCACAATTGCTCACAATGAGCAATACCCTTCACCTTAAATAGTCTAATTAAAATCAAAAGGAATATCCAAGGGTATTCTCCTCCACAGAAGGGTAAGACAATTTGGTCTTGCGCCTTCAAATCAAGTCACAGACAAGCTACTTTTGAGCAGTGCAATATGTGGAAATCAAGCTTTTTTAAAGGACTACACAGAGCTTTACAACTGCATCAGGAGAGGCCCTAAAACTTCTTTATGGAAGATTCACCGTCATTGTACTATCCAAACCTATATATCCCTTTTCGAGATACACTAGCCATGCCCCCCCCCCCCCCAAAAAAACTTACAAGTTAGAGAAAACATGTTTTAATAATTTCAATGGAAACTGAATTCCCAGGTCCTACATTATCCACAGCATCAGCCTACAGCTCCTTCTGGTATGCATGTGTGTATGACTTCAAGGGCAGCATTTGTAGTTTGTAGATATAGCTATATTAAAATATTTCAAAAGGATATCTATTTTGTAAATATTTAAGGCAAAGTATCTAAATAATTGAGGACATGTCCTCTGGCCTTGGCCAGAGCAGGCAGGGCTATCTATCATTTTGGAAAAGTAAAACAAGATTTGGAACAAGCACAGTGGTCATATTCAGGTTACAAGACTTGTTGTCTGTGCATAACAAAAACAAAGTTAACCTGTTCAGTGCTGTGCAAATATCAAGATGGACCCAGCCCCAGAAAGTTTAAAGTTTAGAAAACAGACACAGAAAGACAAAATACATTGGGACATCAAGTGAGAGGACAGATAAAATCCATAGCATTAATGAACCAGAGAAAGATTTGACTGTATACACATTGTATTGTAAGTGCTACCAAAACTGCATAACAATCTTGATTTCAAGAATAAACACACAAGCGAGCTACAGAATCACAGAACAGGATCAAGAAAATAAGTTTGGACAGGGAATAAATTTGAGAGTTGATAAAGAATGAGTCTGATCTTAAACTGCTCCAAATATGAAATTCAGATAGAAATCAATAGGAGTTTCATGCAGAGAAATTGGAAGAATTGGCACCGTGCTGTCAAAACACCCTGTTACCTATGCATTTTCAGTCAGCTAGGAAATAAACACAAATGCACATTCTGAAACAGAGACAGGGTGAGACATGTAATGTTTGTATTTTACAGGTTTTGTTGTTAACCCCTCAGGTGCAGTTTATATAGAAAAACATGTAATCAATAGTTCAGTTCCTGCATGGTGGAAATATTAAGGCCACTCAGTAATAAACATGTGAGATACAGAGTCAGCTTTAGTTACCTGAATATAATTTTTGTCTCAGAGTGCTGTGTATCGAAAGGCGCAGCCCTGGAGACAGGGCTGTGTCACACAACTCTTTGATTGGTTACCACAGACAGGCTTCAATAAGCATCCCTGTTCTCCAGGTATGTTGTCCCCCTCAAACGCTATAAATCAGTGTTTGGTGCCCTCCTTTCCAAATGCAAACAGATGGACATCGTACCAAAAGGACTGAAGGTAAAAAATCCATTACAATCTACATACCACACAGACTATGCTGACAGCTTGTGCCACATGCTCTCAAAGAAACTGCGGAATCACCTGATCAACATCCTCTACAGCAAACAGGGAAAGATTAAGAATGAGCTCTCAGAACTGGATACTCTCATAAAAAAACAACCTTCCACACAAACTTCCTCGTGGCTGGAATTTACTAAAACTAGACAAGCCATTTACAACGCACACTTTGCTTCTCTACAAAAGAAAAAGGACATTAAACTTTCTAAACTACTACATGCTACAAGGGGCCACAGCAATGGTTCCCTCAACCCACCCAGCAATATTGTTAACCTATCCAACTATACTCTCAGCCCAGCAGAAGAAGCTGTCCTATCTCGGGGTCTCTCCTGCCCCTCCACCCCCACGAACATGATACAGTTCTGTGGTGACCTAGAATCCTATTTTCGATGTCTCCAACTCAAGGAATATTTCCAAAATACCTCTGAATAACATACTAATCCACAGAGGCCTCCCTACCAACATTACAAAAAGAAGGATTCTAGGTGGACTCCTCCTGAAGGTCAAAACAGCAGACTGGACTTCTACATAGAATGCTTCCGCCGACGTGCACGGGCTGAAATAGTGGAAAAGCAGCATCACTTGCCCCATAACCTCAGCCATGCGGAATGCAATGCCATCCACAGCCTCAGAAACAACTCTGACATCATAATCAAAAAGGCTGACAAAGGAGGTGCTGTTGTCATCATGAATAGGTCGGAATATGAACAAGAGGCTGCTCGGCAGCTCTCCAACACCACTTTCTACAAGCCATTACCCTATGATCCCACTGAGAGTTACCAAAAGCAACTACAGCATTTGCTCAAGAAACTTCCTGAAAAAGCACAAGATCAAATCCGCACAGACACACCCCTGGAACCCTGACCTGGGATATTCTTTCTACTACCTAAGATCCATAAACCTGGAAATCCTGGGCGCCCCATCATCTCAGGCATTGGCACCCTGACAGCAGGATTGTCTGGCTATGTAGACTCCCTCCTCAGGCCCTACGCTACCAGCACTCCCAGCTACCTTCGAGACACCACTGACTTCCTGAGGAAACTATAATCCATTGGTGATCTTCCTGATAACACCATCCTGGCCACTATGGATGTAGAAGCCCTCTACACCAACATTCCACACAAAGATGGACTACAAGCCGTCAAGAACACTATCCCCGATAATGTCACGGCTAACCTGGTGCCTGAACTTTGTGACTTTGTCCTTACCCATAACTATTTTACATTTGGGGACAATGTATACCTTCAGATCAGCAGCACTGCTATGGGTACCCGCATGGCCCCACAATATGCCAACATTTTTATGGCTGATTTAGAACAGCGCTTCCTCAGCTCTCGTCCCCTAAAGCCCCTACTCTACTTGCGCTATATTGATGACATCTTCATCATCTGGACCCATGGAAAAGAAGCCCTTGAGGAATTCCACCACGATTTCAACAACTTCCATCCCATCATCAACCTCAGCCTGGTCCAGTCCACACAAGAGATCCACTTCCTGGACACTACAGTGCTAATAAACAATGGTCACATAAACACCACCCTATACCGGAAACCTACTGACCGCTATTCCTACCTACATGCCTCCAGCTTTCACCCTGACCACACCACTCGATCCATCGTCTACAGCCAAGCTCTGCGATACAACCGCATTTGCTCCAACCCCTCAGACAGAGACAAACACCTACAAGATCTCTATCAAGCATTCTTACAACTACAATACCCACCTGCGGAAGTGAAGAAACAGATTGATAGAGCCAGAAGAGTTTCCAGAAGTCACCTACTACAGGACAGGCCTAACAAAGAAAATAACAGAACGCCACTAGCCGCCACCTTCAGCCCCCAACTAAAACCCCTCCAACGCATTATTAAGGATCTACAACCTATCCTGAAGGATGACCCAACACTCTCACAAATCTTGGGAGACAGGCCAGTCTTTGCCTACGGACAGCCCCCCAACCTGAAGCAAATACTCACCAACAACCACATACCACACAACAGAACCACTAACCCAGGAACCTATCCTTGCAACAAAGCCCGTTGCCAACTGTGCCCACATATCTATTCAGGGGACACCATCACAGGGCCTAATAACATCAGCCACACTATCAGAGGCTCGTTCACCTGCACATCCACCAATGTGATATATGCCATCATGTACCAGCAATGCCCCTCTGCCATGTACATTGGTCAAACTGGACAGTCTCTACGTAAAAGAATAAATGGACACAAATCGGTTGTGAAGAATTATAACATTCATAAACCAGTCGGAGAACACTTCAATCTCTCTGGTCACGCAATTACAGACATGAAGGTTGCTATCTTAAAACAAAAAAACTTCAAATCCAGACTCCAGCGAGAAACTGCTGAATTGGAATTCATTTGCAAATTGGATACTATTAATTTAGGCTTAAATAGAGACTGGGAGTGGCTAAGTCATTATGCAAGGTAGCCTGTTTCCCCTTGTTTTTTCCTACACCCCCCCGACGTTCTGGTTAAACTTGGATTTGTGCTGGAAATGGCCCACCTTGATTATCATGCACATTGTAGGGAGAGTGGTCACTTTGGATGAACTATTACCAGCAGGAGAGTGAGTTTGTGTGTGTGGTTTTTGGAAAAAAAAAGGGGGGGGGGCTGAGAAAACCTAGATTTGTGCTGGAAATGGCCCACCTTGATTATCATGCACATTGTAAGGAGAGTGATCATTTTAGATAAGCTATTACCAGCAGGAGAGTGGGGTGGGAGGAGGTATTGTTTCATGGTCTCTGTATATATAATGTCTTCTGCAGTTTCCATGGTATGCATCCGATGAAGTGAGCTGTAGCTCACGAAAGCTTATGCTCAAATAAATTGGTTAGTCTCTAAGGTGCCACAAGTACTCCTTTTCTTTTTGCGAATACAGACTAACACGGCTGTTACTCTGAAATCTAGTGGATCAGTTATTTTTTTCCCCTTTCAGCCATGAGTTTACACTGCTCATGAAAAGAGCAATACACCTGAATTGTAACTTGCAGTGCTCCTGCCATTCTAATCCTGAGATGCCTAAATGGAGCTCACTAGCTGTGCAGTTAGCATTTCTGACCGATCCGTTCCCCTGTTTTTAAAGTGAATGCTGATGAGGAAGGTACATCCACAAAGAAGTGGATGCTGATTAGGTCACGACAGTCTCAACACCGGTCATCTCAATTAAGACTTGGGTGAGCAAGCCACACAGCTAGGATTTGGCATCTCCATAGCAACGTGCAGTACGTCATTCTGACACACCATCTTCCAGACTGCCCGATGTTGTGGCCATGCTGACGGTCTCTTTCTCTGCAGGAGATCTCTGGAGAGAAACCAGGTGCGCGCCAGCGCTCTTCCCAGGGCCGGAGCAGCGAAGGGGTGGAAGAAACAGCCACTTAATCCTTGTCTGAGGGGACTGTCAGTGAACGGATGCGGGGGGGCGGGAGGGAATTTGGACACAAATGGTCAGCGCCTGGTAGCAGGTTTAAAACAAACACAAGAAATTATTTTTTCAAGCAACGCACTGTCAACCTCTGGAACTCCTTGCCAGAGGGTGTTGCGAATGCCAATACTATAATTGGGTTCAAAAGGAAGCTAGACAGATTCATGGAGGACTCTCCAATCAATGGCTATTAGCCAGGGTGGGCAGGGATGGTGTCCCTAGCCTCTGTTTGTCGGAAGCTGGGAATGGGCAACAGGGGATGGATCGCTTGATCATTACCTGTTAGGTTCACTCCCGCTGGGGCACCTGGCGTTGGCCACTGTCGGCGGACAGGATACTGGGCTGGATGGACCTTTGCTCTGACCCAGCAGGGCCGTTCCTATGCTCTGCCCGCCTGCGCTGCGGAGGGCGGGGAGGTGTGTGGGGGGTGGAGGGGGAAGGGGGGAATCCGCGGGGGTGGCCGGGAGCCCCAGGCCGGAGCTAAGCACAGGCCGAGGCCGCCTGTCCAGAAGGCGGTGTGGGCGGCAAGGCCATTGCTGGGCCCAGCCCGGCGGAGGCGGGGCGCTCCCGGGGGGGGGAACGGCGGGCAGGAGGCGCGATGCCAGCGACGGACGCGCCGAGGCGGCCGTTACCGGGACCAGGCAGACAGCTGGGGGGTTACTGGACTCACCCAATCGCAGCCCGGCTCAGGGAGCGGGAACCCCCTCCCCAGACACCGCTCCCGCCGCCCGCGCGCACCGGGCTCGCTTCGCCCGCAGGGGCAGTGACGTGACACGCGCCGCCTCGTTCTCACACACCAATCATCGTGCACAAAAACAGCCCCTTTCTCCTCGACCCCCCTGGGATAACAGCACGGAAACGGATCACGTGAGTGAAGCATCCTCAAGGAGCCAATCGCCGCCTCCCAATATCAGACCAGGTAGCCAACCCCTGCTCTTCACAGAGAATAGTCAAAGAATCCGCTGAGCGCGATCAGGCAGCCAGTCACCACTTCCAAACACAACAGCCAATCAGGGTTAGCCATCCCCAGCTTTGCAGCCAATCACTGTAGTCAAGCCGAAGAGAGACTCATTGCCCATTCCCGGAAATCCAACCACATCCTGGCATGCCCGGCCCGCAGACCAATCAGAGCACCATGCTGGGTAGGCCCCGCCCCCTGGGTTGCTGACGGGTCTGGAGGCCCTAGGCAGATAGCTCTTTACTTCCATACCCTCGCTCGGCCTGGGGGCGGGGCGCTGAGGCCCCCAGCAGCCCCTCCCCACCGGGCTCGCGCTTTCCACGGCCCCCGCCCCCGCCCCCGGGGTTGCCCCTCGGCCTCTCCCGCCCCCCACGCGGGGCAGGGGCCGCGCCCCGGGGCCGGTATAAAGCGGGCGGAGCGCAGGCGGCGCCGCTCATAGGCGCTATGCTGCGGCTGCCGGCGCTGCTCCTGCTGCTCAGCCTGGGCAGCGTCTGCTGCCCTCCGGGGGTCCTCTCCGGCCTGCCCCTGGGCTCCCGGCGGGGCCCCCCGGGGAGAGCTCAGCCCCCCCGCGCCGCCCTCTACCAGACCCGCTACTTTCCCCAGAAGGTAAGCGCCTCCGCTCGCCCCGCCGGAGACACCCCCGGCCTCTGCCCGGGGGTCCCCTCCGCTGGGCCCAGGGCCACCCCTGCGTCAGTGTCTGGGGGGGGGTCTCATCCGCTGGCCCCCCCCCAGGCCCCTCCCCAGCGTGAGCGTCTGGGGGGGTCCCATCCGCTGGGCCCCCCCCCAGGCCCCTCCCCAGCGTGAGTGTCTGGGGGGGGTCCCATCCGCTGGGCCCCCCCCCCCCTCCCCAGCGTGAGTGTCCGGGGGGGGTCCCATCCGCTGGGCCCCCCCAGGCCCCTCCCCAGCGTGAGTGTCTGGGGGGGTCCCATCCGCTGGGCCCCCCCCCAGGCCCCTCCCCAGCGTGAGTGTCCGGGGGGGGGTCCCATCCGCTGGGCCCCCCCCAGGCCCTCCCCGCGCTGAGGCCCCCTCCCCCCAGCGTGAGTGTCCGGGGGGGGGTCCCATCCGCTGGGCCCCCCCCAGGCCCCTCCCCAGCGTGAGTGTCCGGGGGGGGTCCCATCCGCTGGGCCCCCCCAGGCCCCTCCCCAGCGTGAGTGTCCGGGGGGGGGGTCCCATCCGCTGGGCCCCCCCAGGCCCCTCCCCAGCGTGAGTGTCCGGGGGGGGGTCCCATCCGCTGGGCCCCCCCCAGGCCCCTCCCCAGCGTGAGTGTCCGGGGGGGGGTCCCATCCGCTGGGCCCCCCCCAGGCCCCTCCCCAGCGTGAGTGTCCGGGGGGGGTCCCATCCGCTGGGCCCCCCCCCAGGCCCCTCCCCAGCGTGAGTGTCCGGGGGGGGGGGTCCCATCCGCTGGGCCCCCCCAGGCCCCTCCCCAGCGTGAGTGTCCGGGGGGGGGGTCCCATCCGCTGGGCCCCCCCAGGCCCCTCCCCCAGCGTGAGTGTCCGGGGGGGGGTCCCATCCGCTGGGCCCCCCCAGGCCCCTCCCCAGCGTGAGTGTCCGGGGGGGGGGGTCCCATCCGCTGGGCCCCCCCAGGCCCCTCCCCAGCGTGAGTGTCCGGGGGGGGGGTCCCATCCGCTGGGCCCCCCCAGGCCCCTCCCCAGCGTGAGTGTCCGGGGGGGGGTCCCATCCGCTGGGCCCCCCCCAGGCCCCTCCCCAGCGTGAGTGTCCGGGGGGGGGGTCCCATCCGCTGGGCCCCCCAGGCCCCTCCCCAGCGTGAGTGTCCGGGGGGGGGGTCCCATCCGCTGGGCCCCCCCCAGGCCCCTCCCCAGCGTGAGTGTCCGGGGGGGGGGTCCCATCCCCTGGGCCCCCCCCCGGCCCCTCCCCAGCGTGAGTGTCCGGGGGGGGGGTCCCATCCGCTGGGCCCCCCCCGGCCCCTCCCCAGCGTGAGTGTCGGGGGGGGGGTCCCATCCGCTGGGCCCCCCCCAGGCCCCTCCCCCAGCGTGAGTGTCGGGGGGGGGGTCCCATCCGCTGGGCCCCCCCCCGGCCCCTCCCCAGCGTGAGTGTCTGGGGGGGTCCCATCCTCTGGGCCCCCCCCAGGCCCCTCCCCAGCGTGAGTGTCGGGGGGGGTCCCATCCGCTGGGCCCCCCCCAGGCCCCTCCCCAGCGTGAGTGTCGGGGGGGGTCCCATCCCCTGGGCCCCTCCCCAGCGTGAGTGTCTGGGGGGGGTGTCCCCTCTGCTGGGCCCAGCCCCTCTGGCCTCTCCCGTAGGCCCCTCCCCAGCATGAGTGTCTGGTGCTGGGGAGCTTCCTACTGAGCAACCCCCTTCCCAGCATGAGGGGTGTCTGTGGGGCCAACTTGGACTCCCTTCCCCAACATCTTCTCTGGGGTGCGGCATAGCTCTGGGGGCTTACCTGCATCCCATAGGTGCTTCTCTGGTGTGTCTGTGGGGCCCCCAACTGCTGCCTGGGTAGGGCCCCTCTTTCTGTTGATAAGCACCCACTCCCTGGCACGAGGGTCTGATGTTGTCTGCCCCTTCCTCATGGTGTGTCTGTTAAGGGTCTTCTCTCTTATGCTTCTGAGGCTGTCTAAAACTTGGGCCAAGGGAGACCTCAGGCAGTTGTGAAAGAACCTTTGAGAGTATCTCTACACTACAGTTAGACACCTGCAGCTGGCCTATGCCAGCTGACTCAGCCTCACAGGGCTGGGGCTCAGGGGCAGTTTGATTGCCCTGTAGCTGTGCCTGAACATCTGCACTGCAATTAAACAGCCCTTTAGCCCAAGTTCTGTGAGCTCCAGTCAGCTAGCATGGACCTGCCACAGATTTTTAATTGCAGTGTAGACATACCCTAAATGTCTTGTTGAAATATCAGGCTATCAGGAAGGGTTCCTTCCACACTCTGAACTCTAGGGTACAGATGTGGGGACCCGCATGAAAGACCCCCGAAGCTTATTTGTACCAGCTTAGGTTAAAATTTCCCCAAGGCACAAAGTCTTTGCCCTTGGATTAGGTAAACGCTACCACTACCAAGTGATTTAACAAACGATCAGGGAAAGGACGACTTGGAGTTCCTATTTCCCCAGCATATCACCTCAAGCCCTTACACCCCCTTTCCTGGGGTGGCTTGAGAATAAACAAGATGAGCACAGACCAGCCTTGGATTTTTAAGACCCCCAAGAACCCAATCAGATTCTTAAAAAACAGAACTTTATTAGAAGAACAAAAAAAGATAAGAGAACAACTCTGTAAGATCAGAGTGGAAGAATCTTACAGGCAGTCAGATTCAAAACATAGAGAATCCCTCTAGGCAAAAACTTAAATTACAAAAAGACACAAACAGGAATACACATTTCCTCCAGCATAGTGAATTTCACAAGCCAAAACAAAGAAAACCTAATGCATTTTCTTGCTAGATTACTTACTAACTTTACAGGAGTTCGAGGGCTTGCATCCTTGATCTGTTCCCAGCAAAGGTATCACACAGACAGACACAAGCCTTTCCCCCACTTCAGATTTGAAAGTATCTTGTCATCTTCTCATTGGTCATTTTGGGTCAGGTGCCAGCCAGGTTACTTGAGCTTCTTAACCCTTTACAGGTAAAAGGACTTTGCCTCTGGCCATGAGGGATTTTATAGCACTGTATACAGAAAGGAGGTTATCCTTCCCTTTTTATTTATGACACAGCCCGAATAGCTGTACTTAGTGGAAGCTCCTTGAGGCAGGGACCATCTTTTTGTTCTGTATTTGTGAAGTTCCTCGTGTGGTGGGACACTGGTCTCTGACTAGTGCTGCTAGATGCTGAGGTAATACAAACAATAAAATAATAATAGTCGTGCATAAACCAGTGTGAGATCTTACCAGAGCTTTAAAAGAAATCCCATGTGGAGGCGTCTGCTTAGAATTTAGGGGCATGACTGTATCTGGCTATTTAGGGGATTTTTTTTTCCCTTTAAACTTCAGAACAGGAAATCATCAGTCCCAAACTACTGGCCTGTGGGATCCTGCAGTCTTGTTGCAAATGGAAAGAATTGCTTATAAAATGCTGGATAATGCTATTCAGTGGAACTTGTTCTAATTTCCTAGCATTGCGCAAATGGACATAGTGTCTGAATGATAATCCTATTTGAGCACAGACTCTTTCCCTTTCCATGTATAAAGCATTATCTCTGAATGCTTAATATCTAAAACTTATAAAAATTTGGAAAAACATTTCATTTCTGATGAATAGTTTAATATTACCTTTCAGTTAAGAGTAATGTTGCCCAGCCAGTAGACTTGCTGGGTAAGACAAAGTTGCTATAAATGGCCCTGTTTTTTCCTCTTGATCATTCAAAGGATGGTGATTGGCAATGAATTAGTCATGTCCCCTGTAAAGTCTCCTGGGTTGCTGCATAATTTTATTGTCACCCTTCTATGTGACTGTGAGACTGCTGTACAAGAGTGAAACAGTGCAGTGATGCTAATACGGTGTTTAGGGATTGGAAAACTTTACACACCTATTAGCAAGGGGAGGCCAATAGGCAAAATAAGGCCACTAATGAAGTCCGGGGCAATGCTCTGTGGAGGTGTCTAGTCCACTTTCTCTCTCAGCTATTGAGATTCTTGCCAAACTCTTGTGCTTGAACTATGCCCAATCATATTGACCTCTGGGTAGTAGCTATTGTGATACAGTTGAAATCACTTGACTCACATGGACTGCTGGAAGGGAAAGGATCTCTCTCTCCCTCCCTTTTGACACCAGTGTCCTAATCCCATAGGAGGTAGGAAGTTAAATTGGGTAGGAAGTCCACAGGATGGTCAGACAGCATGCCCTCCCCACCCCATGTATAAGCACATGACCTTACTGGGATGCTAGCACTGGACTGGAGTCCTCTCTCTCATGTTAGAGACAAA